GGTTTGGGGGGGATTTTGTAAACGCGGCCAGCAGCAGAGAGGCAGAGGGGCCGGATCTCGCAGGCAATACCCAGCAGCGCCCGCAAGACCCGGTGCTTGCGGGGTCGGGTGTGTGGCCAGAAGCTGCGCTCCTGTTTGCCCACGCCAGCCTCACGGGCCCATTTTTTGCTTTTGAGTTTGTTTCCTGGCACCGCATTGCCAAATATTGGAGTTGGCCCCGATTCTCTCATCTGTACAAAGCAACAGCGCAGGCAACGCGTCCCCTCCCCTTTCCCAGCACCAGGAGCATCCGTCGGCGCGCGCTGCTCTACCCAGCCGCTCTTTGAGCCCGGGTCCGAGAGCAGCAGTGACGAGCCCGCGGCTCCGCAGCGGCCCCCAACCAGCCCCTACCCCCTCCTCTGCCTTTGCAGGACCTTCTCTGCTCCCGTCCTGCCCTCTGAAGCCGGCAGCCTCCTGACGCTGGGGACAGCAGCGGGAAGGGAGCCTGTCGGCAGCCGCTGCGCGTGGGAAGCGCCGTTAGCACCATCTAATGTCGGGAGCGCACGGCTGAGGGCACTCGTCCTTCCCAGGAGGTAGAAAGTCACATATGCAAAGGAAAGAGTTATTCCCCGAATCTAAATTATTCAGCTGTGCTGAATATATAATAAATAATGGATGTGCCTTGTGAACATGCTCTTTAAGGATGCAAAAAGGAGTCTGCATGGCTATCAGCAGGACTGTTTCACCAGGGAGCTGCCCAAGGCGCCCAGCCAGGGTCCCGACAGGCATCGGAGCCACCCCAGGTCCCGGGGGAAGCCGCGGGTGACACCCAAACCGCAGAAACGAGAGCCCTGGGCCCAGCTCCAACGTTGAGAAGTGGCTCCAAGTCACCTTTCCAGTCCTGTAGTTCCCAAACACACACGTCTATGGCCTGTTCTGCACAAGAACCCGGTGTGCAGAAATCCCTTACCGGGATCCAAGAGAAATCCCCCGGGCTGGAGGAAGCTTCTCCGGGTGAGCCGGGGAGTCGTGACTGCTGCAGCCAGCACGAGCTCTGCTGCCTCTTGCAGGGGAGAGGGAGCCCGGGCTGAGAAATCAGGAACTCGGCTCAAAAATATCCAGCACTTTCCCACATGCCGGCGAGCGCAGAGCCCGCAGCAGCGCCGGGGAAGGGGTGCCCTGTGCCCGGACACACAGCGTCCAGCGTTGGGAGCGCAGGGACACGGAGGGATACGAGACCCCAACAGCTGCCTTTCACCTGCGGAAATCTTGCTCGCATCTTTGCTATGGTGGAAACGGCAGCTCTGGGTTCCTCCCAGAACCTTCCTTGGCTCAGTCAGCAATGTTTTCCCACTGCAAGCGGAGGCTCCGGGTCCGGAGCGGGCCAGCACTGCTGTGCGGGGCAGCACCTCACCCGGGGGCGCTCAGAGCCAGAGCCTCCCGCTCCGCTTCGTTTCAACAGCTAAATATAACGTCCTGCTTATTTTTGGCGACGGCGAAAACTCCCATCCATCTCCGCACTGCGAGGAGGCCCAGCAGAGGGATCGAGGTCAGGCTCGCGGGAGGTTCCCGGCTAAGCGAGCCCCTGGCAGCGCTTCCCGCGGCGCCAAGCGGGAAACATCGCGGGAGCTAACGCGGAAAAGACACCCAGCCCCGGTGCCAGCAGCCTCGTGTCAGTCACGGCTCTGCCACCATCGTCACCATGGTGGTTTCCTAATGACTGCCCCAAACACCTCTCTGTACCCAGAACAGTACCTGATGAACGGG